GGGTTTACAGTAGGGTTTAGGGTTCAGGTGGCAGGCTAAAACGGCTGTAGTATACGAAGTTATTCTACTGGGCTATGGTAGTAGTGGACTTTCTCATCTGTCATTGCAGCTTCTGGTGTCTTCCTGCAAGCTTATCAGTTGTCATATTACATGGCTATCGTCACTGTATTGCGTGTGTGTGTGTGTGTCCTCCTGCCTCGTTGAGGAGTATGTTGCTGTTATCCTCGATGATTGCGCGACCACCTTCGCCGGAAAAAAAATACAGCACAGGAGTCCAGCAATTCTATCCTCTCTGTCATACAGACGCAAGGGCAAAGACCTCTGCGCATGGGAGTCTCATGGGGGCCCCTGCCCGCTTCAGGAGGATTCAGCCTGTGCCTCCGAAGTGCACTGCTTTCGGGTGTAGGGTTCAGGGTATATTGGAGGTGCAGGGGACCTAGTAAGTAGGTTATACGTAGAGTTATAAGTCCCCGAACTGGAGTTACCCCAATTTTGACTCCTTATGACCGATTTATTAAGTCCCCTGGGCCTCCAAGTAGGGCCGAAACCTCGGCATCCCCTGTTGAAAACCGATTCGCTGGACTCGCACCAGGCTACAAGGCGTTAGAGAACCCTTATAGAGCCCTCAAGTATCCTTGAATCGTTGAAGGAAGCCTTCAATCAAACCTCTATTGCAAGGACCCTTCCTTTTTTTACAAAAGCTTCGACCCCAAACCCTTCAAGGACCCTTTAACACAGCAAGTGGTACTGCCGTTTGTTCAAGCAATCCCTAAACCCTTTTTTTGAACCCAGGCTCTTTGCTAATCCCTAAACCCTAAACCCTAAACCCTAAACCCTAAACCCTAAACCCTAAACCCTCACCGAGGCCTTCATGGCCTCGCTTCTTGCCGGAAGTCTGCCATGGCTCCCAGGCCGAAAATCGGGCAGACTTTGTGCCCGAGACACTGCGAACCGAGAATCAAGCCCTAATAATTAGGTTTAGGGTTTAGGGTTTAGGGTTTAGGGTTTGGGGTTTGGGGTTTAGGGTTTAGGGTTTAGGGTTTAGGGTTTAGGGTTTAGGGTTTAGGGTTCAGGGTGTTGGGCTTAGGCCTTAATAATTAGAATAGGGTTCCTTGGGGGTTCCTTTAAAGGGTTCCTTCAAACGGGTTCTATAAGGGCTACTATAAGGGTTTATGGTATAGGGGCCTTAATAATTAGAATAGGGCTTTGGGGTATACTCTGCTGTAGTTATATCAAGGAACCCCGAAAATGGTATAGGTCATTCTCTAGGCTCCTATATGAGGAACATACTGGCCGGCACTGGCTGTTTTCACTGCATCTCCATCACAGCGTGCTAACAGTACCGAGTACAACGGCTCAGGGTCTTTGGCCCCAAAGCATTCAACCTGAATAATCCCTTAGGGATTACAGGATGTCCTGAGGTTGCAGTGTGTGGCGCATGTTGTCGCAGCCACGAGTCTCTGAGGCGCAAGGCCCAAAAGCCATTGAGTGAAATGCAAGATTCAACGAGATCGTGGAAAAGATGCGCTTAGCGCATTAATGCCCCCATCAGCTGTTGCAGGTCCGCTGGCGAAAGCTGTTGCAGGTCCGCTGGTGATGCCCCCATGAGCTTTTGCAGGTCCGCTGGCGAAAGCTGTGCTGACATCTGCGAAAGCATCTGCTGTTGCAGATCACCCTGGTTCTCTTCGCCTCGACCCTTCCCGCTTCGAAGGCGCTCTTTCAACTCCTCGAGGTTCACCTTCTCACCTGCCAAGCTATCAGAAGCTATCGAGGCTCGGGCGAGTGCTCCTCGCACCATGCCAGTGTTTCGTAGATTGGGATTGGGTTTTCAGGTTTATCCCACTGTTCCTCCCTGGTCCGTCAAAAGTCTCGCCCCATCCTGGGTGTCCGCAGGCAAGCTTTCATGCTGTGATGCGACGTGCTTCTGTAACTCCCTATACCCCTAAGCCCTAAACCCCAGACCGTGAAGCGTACACCCTAAACCCCAAACCCAAATTCCGAAAGCCTAAGCCCCTTTTGCAACTGACCTGCTGCTGCGAAACTGCCAGGACGAGCACTTGGCCACAATCCCTTAAGCGCCCTAAACCCTAAACCCTAGACCCTGAGACCCTAAAGCCTAATATAGGGGCCTTAATAATTGGAATAGGGTGTTACGCAGTTTTAGGGTATATTATACTATAACTAAAACAAGAGCCCCCCACAATATTATAGGTAACTATTAAGGCCCCTATATTAAAACCCTCGAGCCCGAACCCTAAACCCTAAACCCTAAACCCTAAACCCTAAACCCTAAACCCTAAACCAGCCTGTGTCACGCATCATCTGCCGCATGTGCTCCCAACCAGGAATCTTGCCAGCTCCGGCATGGACGGTCTGGAAGTCCTCGTGATGTTGGGTTTGGGGTTTAGGGTTTAGGGTTTAGGGTTTAGGGTTTAGGTTTTTAGGGTTTAGGGATCTAGGGGTTAGGGTTTACTTATTGTTGTTAGCCATTCTCCTTAGTAGTACTGTACATATTACATATGTGATCATGAACATTGCTAGTGATTACTATCGTTATTTACTGCTAGCTACTGTTGTTTGCGAGTGGTGTTGATACGCCCTTGTGTATTGGTATCATTGATATCATTATCAGAGCTTGTTGACTTTATTGATGTTTGGTATGAATGTTGTTATTCATACATTATTGCTATCAATTACTGCTGTTACCATTGTCGTTATCATTGTCGTTATTGTTTTGGCTGGTGTTACTACGATTATTACAAATATATCTGTCATTGTGATTGGCAGTCATATTCGTATTCACATTGCGATCCTTATTCTTATGAACACTTGCATTCGTCATCTTCTTCTTTGTCTTCCGAATCCTCGTATTCTTATTCTTACCAGTAGGATTGCTACTCCTCTTACTAGTACTACTACTACTACTACTACTACTACTACTACCACTACTACCACTACTACTCCTGCTGCTGCTACTACTACTACTACTACTACTACTACTACTACTGCTACTACTACTACTACTACTACTACTA